CCCGTCAGATTGGTCTATCCACCTGGTTTCATGTGGACATAGCTTTTCAGATGTGCGACTCGATTTGAGCGATGGCTCTTCTGGGTATGGAGGTGCCGGGCATCACAACATTGGGGCATTTGTGAATCCCCTCTTTGCGAATCCCTTGCATTGACATAGACATCTTTGTCCAACGTTTAGTCTCGCTGAGGTGGAGAAGCATGAGAAGATGCTCAGGCGCCCCCCGTATGAGGGAACACTGCTGCGGCAGGAAGCTTCCACTGGGTTGATGGACTCGGGGTCGTGACTTGGACTTTGCGCTTCTATTGAAGAGCTTTGTGCTGCATCTAAGCTTAGCTGTGGATGTTTTCGGGAAGGCTCCATTGTAGAAAGACGATGTTGGCCTACTCACACAAGGGACTGTCACATAGATCATATCCCCGATCATGGGGGCGTTCATTCATCACCAGCCAACATCAAGTAAATCACAACCCTTTCACCTGCCGAGCCTCTTTGGTCGAAAACCCCTTTCTGCCTCACCCCCTCCGGTGACGTCTAAAACACACGACCCTTCCCCTTCGGCGGAGCAGCCAAGTGCATCCCGATCGCCCAGATACGTCATGGAGCGCTACGTGGAGAAGGACATGGCATCCTCGTCCGGGCCGAGGGAGTCGGCGTCCGGGGCCAAGCAGGTGCGGAAACCCCGAGGGCCGTGCGGCTTCCGAGAAATGACAGCCCAGGGTATGTTATTTGTTTTTTGCTTGTATACATATACATATATATATATATATATCATTACATATCATATACGTGTGTGTATATACATATATATCTGTCTGTGTGTATGTTGAAAAATTGATTGAGAACGGGAATTCACTATGCAATCATAGCAGAGGCAGGGTTTCCTGGACATGGGTTGAAGAGGGACCCAGTTTGTATGTCCGACCACCTTGCATATAAGATTCGCTCCAGAGTCACGACACATTTGGTGGGGACAACAGCAACCAATTTCAATTTTGAGATTGGACATGTACCAAAGAGCATCGAAGCATATCGCACATCGTCATTCTAGCATCCTTTTGGTTTGCATGCATTATTTTTTCCCTCAAAAAGATGGCAGGCCTCAACCGGATGGTCTGTCAGAGAGTTCCCGTTCTTTTCGTGCCACTGTAGGTGCCGTGTTGCATCTTTGCACCATGATCATCCTCATTTGCCCAGTTTTCACATCAGCCCTTTTGCAATCTGTGGCATTGCTCGCTGCTTTCTCTTCTTGCTTCCTTGAAGCTCCGTGCAAAACGAGATCTCACGATCCACCAGAAGACCTTGGGAGCCAGGATACCCTCCATAGTCCAGTCACGGAGTCAAGGAGGAGACTGAACCTTTTCTGAGTAGTAGGTCATAGGGCCTTCATATTGTGGATGGGTCGTGACCCACCGGGAGCCCGACCCGTCCACCATGGGTCCGCGAATGACCGACACCCGGTTGGTCAAGCCAGGGAACCTGGTTTTGACCCACAGCTATATATATATATACCTAGAACCTGAATGACCTCTATTTTGGACCACCAACCACCCGAAATGTGGCCTTTTCCTATTAAACAGAGGTCAATTGGGTTCCAGGTATAGTATGTTATTTTCATCTCAGTCATGCTTGGGTTCCGCCAGGCCACGGTCGCCAACCTGTCCTCCCTTGTGGAGGGGCCGACAGAAACCAAAGCCGAGGTGTGGGGTCAGTTTGGCGAACAGTTGATTTGAGGAGGTGCTTTGTTTTGCTTACATGGTTGACACATCATGTATATACTACTTAAGTGTACTTAAGTGTACTTGAGGCTTGACAAAACATCCAAGCAATCGCTAATTCATAGTTTAAATGCTTAACATCTAGACTTGATGAACTTGAAGCACATCATGCAGTGAACATTTGTGACTCATTGCAGTTTATCACTACTGATCCTGTCAAGCTAAACGTGCTTCGGTCCTCGCCCTGCCTTTTCCACACCAGGCACGAGCAGGCGCCGGGGCATGGGTTTTAGACTGTGCTGTGATGTCTCAAAGGAGCCAGACTTCGGATCTGGACAAGGAGTCAGAGTGAGATGTTTGCAGCTTTGCTGAGGAAACTCCTCAAACCATGTTCTTTTTTTCAGACTTTGCACTAAAAAGCGTCTGCGAATTTTGTGAAGAAGGTGTTGTTGATAGAAGAATAATGTCATTTTCATTTGCTGCTTTGTTCAGAGGCACTTCTTCCGTCAATCCCCACAAACATATGTAATTTGGTTGGAGGCCATCGCTCTTAGGTTGCCATCGCTTCTAGGTTGGAGGCCATCGCTATTAGGTTAATTTAAGACTGTTTGTTTTTTCGCAATCAAATGAAACGCACTTGGCGGAGGTGGACACAGGGCAGAGTGGGAGAGTGGGACGCACCTCGTTTGGCCATGAACACCCTCAGGTGACGCCCCCCGAAAGCGCAAGACGGGTGCCCGGCACCCCAGAAAAATAACACACATATTTGCACTGGATGAATTGGGACTCAGCCTGTGCTACTTGGTAACCCCATGTAACCCCAAGAACAGAAGCTGGCATACATTCTAGGGCCTGCTTTGGATAGAGCTGGAGGGTTTGATTGAGGGTAGAGGGTAGAAAAGAAGAGATGCTCGGAGATTCAAGTTTCGAGGGCTCCAAACATGGTTTGTGGCACGTGTTGGATCTGACAGCTTGAGAAAAACTGGCATGTACTGTACTTTGCTCTGTGAGCCTCCTTCTGCCCATACCAAGGCGTCCGACAGCATGGTGGGCATGCCCCAGCCCGAGGCCGGACATTCCAAGGAGTGTTCCTTGTGATTTGGACCTGGCCGTGTTGCAGCCGTGCGGGCCGCGCCCATGGTCGTCGTCGAGTCCATTGCTCGAACTACAAACTCGGGAGGCGCAACGTTTTTTTTGAGAAAACAGAACCATATGTGGACGAGGATCAATGTCGGATATTTTTGTTTTGCATTGTTGTGGGTCTCCCAGCGGCCTCTACTTGAACCCCTTGTGTTTGCATGTGTTCAGTTGAAAAAGGACATTTGCAGTTTGGAGCTGGTGTTGAAAAACCTGGACATCGATCTTCTTTTTTTTTGGATAAACGCCAACAACACCACCACAAATTTCCGGGACCACCCCATTCCAGAACTCACCTAGTTTCTTTAACTTTCTGGCCGACACCTCCCGGTTGCGTGTGACGACTAAAAGCAGTAAGGACATTGGGACCCTCCCGCAAAATCCCAAGAAATACAAACACAAAATAAACACCATCTATGCCCCCAAATGGCCAGCCCAAGACCGGACTTGTTTTGGTTCCTTGGAGGCCACCCCTTCCAAGATCGAAGATCGTCGCGGTTCTTTGCTTTAAGGGCTGCCGCCGCGCCTTTTTCTTCCACGAAAAGGTGCAAATGAACTGCCAAAAGACAAGTCAGGACACATTTGTGGTGAATGCCTTTACCTTTTCTTGAGGTAAGTCTATTGAGCACTGTTTATTCGATGTTTGCTTGTTATATTATATATTTCTTTTTTTGTCTGGAGGGGCTCCGGGAACTTGGACCAAACGTCCTTTTTGTTTGCTGTACGATTCATTGTTACCCAGCACTCTTGTTTTGCTATTTGCTTTTAACCAGCTTTTCCTGCTGAATCTTGATTGGTTTCCTCAAGTAAGTACAGTATCATAAAGTTGGCTGCGCGTGTTTTCTCAGCTCTTTAAATCTACTGTAAACTGATTTGTTTCGGGCTGATTTCGCTGCTCCTGGCACCAAACACCATCCCAGATATGTAGTTCAAAGCCATCCAACGATCTTGAAATAGTTGCACCTTTGTTTACTGTAATTACTGCTACATTTCCTTCATTATATAGTATGTTAACTATTTATTTAGCTGTAGTATTATTGGTTTGCATTTCCTTCTTTGTTTTAGCCACTTGCTTTTGCTAAATTGATTTGCCATGATTGGATTCTGGGAAGCAAAGATACAACGGACATGTCATAGAAGGAGCTAGGCCACAGACAAAAGGGTCGATTGACCGCTATCATTGCCATATACGCCATAACGTATTAACTACGCTGTTTAATTTCAATCACCATTGGAAGCCTTTGTACTTTAACAGTGGCTCTTCCCCTCTTGGATAGGTTGGTTGATTGTAGGTAACACCTTTGCAGAGCGATTTCTTAGAACCGAAGGACCGAACTTCAAAAATGGTCATTCTTACGAAGGAAGGGCGATGTAACAGCCTTTTGCAATAAGAATATTTGGGATGCTGCTTAATGGAAGAAACCGTGCTCACATAGATGCATATATACGGTCAAAGCGAAGCATGCACATTTAAACAAAAGATGGACAATTTCCGTGTAAATGAGAGAAGGTTCTGGATAAGGTGGGATGCATTTTTATTTGACCAGAATTCCGGAAAGGAGAATCGCAGTGTATGATACAAGAGGGTTTTGGATAAGACTGAATGCTCCTATGTAGGCACGATATATACCTTTTGAATATCCAATTGTTACAAAGAACTGTCGTATCGTTATGAAGAAAGATGAACGAAGGAACGGATGTACACTCTTCAAAAGACTAATCCTCAAATTTGTTTCATACGAGGCTAGATTGACGTTATCGAGATAAGTCTAAGGAACATTGTAAGATTTTACACATGTCAAATGACCAAAAGCAACATCAAATGTGCGAAACAAGGTGCAGTGCCACAGCCTCCCGAGCTCTTTCTCCTTTCGGGGGGCGTTTCGGGACGTCCACGGCCTGCCGGACCTCCTGGCGGGTTTCGTCGGAATGGTCGGAACACCCGCTGCTTCAGGGCGTGGCCTGAGCGGGTGACATGGTTGAGCTCTCGGAGATCGCGAAGACCCCTGGCGTTCGCAGCAATGCGTCGTGATGGCAGCATGACCATCTCAAACCGTGGGTTGACCCTGGGCCAATTCTCTTGCCGCAGCCAAATAGGTGCTTTACAAGACAACATCTGTTCTTGTGGACATATGCTTCGTACTGCTTCGTATTGCTTCGTGATTCGTCATCACATGAAAGAAATACCCAGGAGTTCAAATGACTTCGTTTGTTGTGCGATCTCGCTGTTGCAGGTTTCCGTGGATGTTTCACCTTTAGTGCGAGACAGAAAAGGCTCTTGTCGTAAATAATGTTCGTCTTGCGGTTGACAACGACTTTTTGTCTAGTTGACTCTTTAAGAACAAGGCCATCACTTGGAGGATCGTCGAGCATGAAATCTTCAATCAATCAGGAGTCGCTTGGGGGAGATGAGTCCATTCAGCAAGCACGCTCCGCTTCTAGGACCTGTGAACTTAGGACTTTGTTACAAGCACTGGCGCCCAGCAAAGGCAGTGAACCGGGTTTCGTCATAACATACCGATCGAAGTCGCCGAGGTTTTCCTGAGTCAGTCAGTCACTAGAATTCTGGGTGCCACCCCGAACGACTAACGACAAGAACAGCCTCTTTGCAACGCCAGCACAGACGCTGTCGGTCTGGAAGCGGCAAAGCCACGGTCTCCCGCCGTGTCCGCGGGCATTTCGAGGGATCGAACAATTTCCGCTGCCCCATTCTGCGGTTTTGGGCCAAGAGAAGGATGGCCAAGCCGGCGGGTTGTTTAAACATGTTGAAACTGCATCAGAAATCCTCTCAGACTTCTACACATGTGATGCTTTCGCGCTCAATGTTTTGTGCCAAGAAGATGGTCTTGAATCTTTGCAGTTGCTTTTGTTTTCTCACATGTCCTTTCTTGATAGAATCCCGAAGGGTCTAGGTGTTTTTGAACGTTTGTGGGCAATCCAGTTACGCTTCGAACTCCAGAAGGGTGTGGTATGAATCTAGATGTCTAGATGTGAACTTTGCCCAGCACTGTAGGAGCTTTCACAAGCGCGGACCAGGGATCAGATAAATGCGCCTATTGGTACTAGGTTTGAAGTCTTGACGACTGTTGCTTATTCGCACCCCCGAACCTTCCTCAGCTCCCACGGCTCGTCCGTCCCATTGTCCCTCTGCCATTTTCAGCAGACGAATCTGCAAAACAAGGGGGAACATGGCTGGAACCGAAGAACCCCCATATCAAATAGGTCGGGGTCGGAGACAGGTCCTAACAAGGTCCTTGGACCTCTCCCCCCCCAAAAAAGAGAATTCTCCAGATCACGCTGGCTCTGATTTTGGCCAAAGCTGGCGAACCATAGGGAGCTACAAGTTTACGACTGCTTAACCCCCCCAAGATGGAGATGTTTGACATGCTGGACTCATGTTTTCCTCCACTGGGTGACTCTGAATCTTCGCCAAAAACCCTGAGGCCATGGGGGGCGGTGGCGACTTCGGCAAAGGCCACAAAACCAAGCCGGATGCATGTGGTTCGATGGGTGGTTTGATTGATACGGAGTCTGATGTCTTTGCGGCTGTTCAGGGGTGGATGCAACATTCCTTTCAAAGGAATGAGGAATGTCAATCAACAGGACATCAGTGGTGTGCTTCTTTGCGCTTCTGACGCCTTTTTAGATGGTGTTGAAGGGTGCGTGTGCGACTCATTCAAAGTGTTCTTCTAACATGGAGACCAGTGGTGAATAGTTTTGCCCAACATGCACCAGGCAAGGGCAAGAGCAAAGGCAAGGGCAAAGGAAAGGGCAAAGGCAAGGGGAAGCAGGAGGAGAAGCAATGGGCAGCTTGGCTGGAACAGGTATTCCAATTTTCACTTGTCAACCTTTTCTTTCAAGGAGGGTGCACCTTGGCTGTGCACCTTTCAGTCACAGGGTGCCTTTTGGCAAAATTTGTTTTCGTTCTTCATTTCCCTGCCAGGGGGGGCGCAGGAGGCCCATAGAGCTGTGCCCATAGAGTTGCATGCCGCCTGATCAGCTGCACGCACCTGCATTGTCCAGAACAGTTTGTGTTTTGTTGTAACCTCGTGCTCTAGATTTCAGGCTGTTTAGGATTGTTTAGGTAGAGATGAGTCTCGTCTGCAGACTTTGCATGCGCCGTCTTTCACTCGTCGTTTACTCTTCGATTCAGAACTTTGACTTTGGAGCCTTCAGTGATGGTTGAGCCACCTTACATACTCCACATTTTACTTAAGCCTTTCTTTCATACTTAGGCTGCCGTGTGGCATGTGGCATTCCGACCGTACATGCTGATTTCCCGAGTGTGTTTGTGTTGAGCTTGTGTTTTGGTTTCCATCATATGGCCTTTTGAACAGGGCAACCCAGCCGAAGGCACTTTTTACTTAAGATATCTTAAGATAAACATGTAAAGTGCCCGTGAGTCGCATCTCCAGCTTTCCTTGCTTTACCGATCAACATATTCTCATATAGGAGCGCATGCTTCTGTTTCGCGGAAAAGAGGGACCATCCTGCGAGCTTGTACAATGCCGCGGAGCGTCTCAAAATGCTTGAACAAATGGGCCATTTGGATATATAGATATATGGAAAGCGGCTCATCGCTTGGCAGTTCCACTTTTTGCTTGGGTTTCACTTTTTCTCCCTCCCGTTTAGATCCGTTTAGTGTTCTGGCCCCGACCCCTTGGTTGATTCAAGTTGATTCAGTATAGACTTTGATGACGCACCTCCCTTGAGCAGGTGGAATGCGCCAAGTGAATGTATGGTATATGATGAACCTGTATGAACCTTGTATCTTGCGGTATTCTCACGAGCACCCCGCCCACATCCTGTCACGTTTGTTGAGACTTGTTTCGAACAACCTGACGACCTGTGTCCGGCTGTTTGACACATTTCCTTCAGGTGCCCATGACCAAGCTGGGACGCCTGGTGAACGACGGGAAGATTGGTAGCTTGGAGGCTGGTGGGGAGCCAAGGGAGAATCTGACTTTTGATGCCCAAACAATACCCTTCCTTGATTTAGGTCAAGCCTTTGCTACGTACTTGTTTGTGATGCAAATACTCGGACTTTCAGGGCGATCAGGTTCTGCTGCCTTGAACTGCATCCATTTGGGCTGTTTTTGAGCATGTAAAAGGTCGGTTTCGACGTCGGCTTTTGGCTCATGGCCTGGAAGATCCGAGGGTTGTGATCTGAGCGTTGGAAGATCCGTTTCTTCTTGCACCCGCGCAGGAAGTCTACCTGCACTCTTTACCCATCAAGGAGCCAGTTTTTTGTTTTGCGCCACGGCTATGCAAGGGTCGCATATGACGGCACATGGGTGAAACAGATGATCATGCGCGAAATGAATGAGAGCTTGGTGTGCAACCAGTGTGAAGGCCATGACAATAGGATAACCTAGGATGACCAACGGATGACCTTGGCAGGTATAATGTGTTGTGGTGCGCAGATGATGCTTGTCGAAGGTTTAGAGCGGTGCATGGTAACGTGTGAACACACTGAATGCTCGCTGCGTGAAGTGAACATCCAGAGGATGGAATCTCAGGTTAGCTTCAAGAACCATGATCCCGTCCTTCAAACCTCTACTGACGTAGATCATTCCCCTGTTTTCATCTACAGACTGTTTTGAGATCGTCACGAGTGCCTGGACACTTTTCTGGACTCCAATGGTACCACATGGTACCTTGATCCTCGGATCGTCTTTGGTTCAACTCATTTGCGGCGCTCGCGCGTTCCACGTCTTTCATTGCCTCTACGAAGCCCTTCGTTGCCGTCGAGTGGCTCCAAGCACCTGGGTTCAACTAGGAGCCTAGCCATGCATTCAGTGCTCCATGAGTCCGTCGCCCAAGTGGGGTGAATCGGCCAGGAGCCCGAGATCATCGACCATTTCTACCCGCCAGGGTCCTTGAAGGCGCGCGAGTTTGGGTCCGGAAGAATGAGAGTGGGCAGGTGTTCAAGGCAAGCTTCTGCTGGCCACCGTGGTTTTCCTGCAGGAAATAGGAGGTGAAGGTGTTCTCGGCCCCAAGCGTCCAGGCCTTCAAAAATCAGGTTCAAAATACGTGTTTTCCTTTGTGATCAAGTGATCTCATCACACCCAACTGGGTCAGAAAGCTCTCACCATGCATGGCACTCCCATCGTACCCACCTATCGTATCGGATGCGTTTTTGGCCCAACGAGAACGGCACCAGTGCCAGGATGAGGTGTTAAAGATCCACCCCGTGCAGAAGATGACCTCGGCAGGCCGGGAAGTTTGGGCCCCAACCAGGTGGGGAAGAAGGACACCCGTGACGTACGCGGGAGGAAACGTGCCTCGGTAGGTCGTGGCTGGCAAGAGTTCAATGGAAGATCCCATGAAGTCCAATCTGGACCGATTGCGTTGGCTTTAGGAAGAAGTCGAAGCACACATAACTTCTGAGTGTGAACGTTTGACTGGAAAGCTTTTTCTTTATAGAAGGCCACTTAGACTTGTGACCTGAACAAAACTTGATCTGGCATGGCCGTTGGCTATGGTCACAGAGATGGCTTTGACACTTGTGAAAAGACTGGAGCCATCGAAACTGACGAACAATACACGGATGAAGTCATGAATTTTGAACTTCCTTCTTCCCGGACGAGCCGGGAAGGAACTGGAAGATTCTGCAGGTCAGACCAACCGCTTCGTTTGCTATGTCTTGGTGGGCGACACCAACGGACACATCGGTCTTGGCTCCAAGTGCGCCAAGGAGGCCCTGTCGGGAAGCAGTTTTGTCGACCGTTTACTGAACTCCAAAATAGACTTCGGCAACGTTCACCACTCCCAGCGCGGGCTTGAGGGACAAACATGCATCCAGGCACCGATGCTCCAAGGGGTTGTCGACTCCGGCGACCTCCGACCTCACAACTCGCGCGGCCTCCGGTGGTCGACCTCCGAGCGGCGGAGAACTCGTCCCGACGAACGGACGCCCCATGACGCCCCCAGGTGGCCACGGCCATCCGCGGCGGGATCATCGCTGCCAAGCTGAACCTCATCCCGGTGAGGCGAGGCTTCTGGGGCAACCGATCCTTGGACGGAGACGGAGGTCGTGAGACGATGGTGCGGGTCTGGAGACTGTCATGCGAGACGCGGGAACCGGACTCCGAGTGGTTTTTTGGTTCGAGTGGAGTGGCTTGGATGAATCATCTTGATGGCTACCACGGTGGAACTACCCCATTGATGATGAATGATTATCATATGATATCATATGTGTTCAATTGTGTTCATGTGTCATGATGTTCAGTAGAGGCCCTGAAATGACACGTCACTCTGCCATCGCACAGCAACACCCTCCACTCGGCTTACAGCCCCATCTCTCCACCACACCGCACGTCCACACGACGCGATGGGACGACCGTCCACACCGGACGTCCGCACGACGTCCTGAGGAATCGGCCTCCCACACACCGTGCCCATGAAGGCGGCAGGACGAAGGGACGGACGACCTCGTCGTCGAGGTCGTTGCGGTCGGTTGGGAGTGGAACACCCACGCTTGGTCGCTGCAGAAAGAAGGATGCAGCGGCACATGTTTGGTACATTTGGACCAAGCGATACAAAGCGACAAACGCCCCAACACGTGCCGTGAAAAAGCATGCATGTGGCACCCGTGGCACACCTGTTTAAATGGAACCATCATGATCATCATGAAGGGTCAAATGACAGTCAAACGATACCACTCCCACCTTCAGATCTCTATCCATTCAGCCGGTCCATACGCTACCAGGTCCATGGCAAGTGCGGTTCGGTCCGCGCCCGCTTGATCCCTGCCCCGCGCGGCTCGGGCATCGTTGGCTCACCGGTCATGAAGATGCTCGCCGGTCATTGGCGCGCCCGAGGGGGTCGGATTTGGATGGTCACTTCGGAAAGAGGATGAAAGAGGGCTGTTGCCCAAAAGATGGCGAAGTGGCAGTTGCGCGCTGTTCTTTGCAGTGAGAACAAAGATCTGAATTTCAATCAACACCTCACACATTTTAGATGCCAGTTCCTGTTGTTGAGGAGTACTTCAAACTTCAAAAAGACATGCTCCTCTGCAATCTTGGGAGGAAGACTGGCACAGAAGTAGCAAGGGGGCCAGAGGGATCATACCGTATGACCGTATGTTTGTTTCATTCTTGCACTGCATGAGGTACTAGATACTTAGGTTGAGAGTTCATGCAGTTTGGCTCCGACCAGGGGCCAATATTGTATAATGTAATTATGCTGTTATTGGACATGTAAATCAACAAAAACACTGAACGCAGAGATGTTGTGAGAGCGTTGCTTCATGCTTAGGAAGATGATGGCATTCGCGGGCATCTCTGACTGCTTTACTTGCTCCTGTGGCCACACCAGGACAGGACGCTGAAATGAAGAAACTATCCTCAGCCGAGGATTTCTTGGGCACTTTGTAAGGCTCACAGAGCAACGTGCAAGGGCACAATTCTGAAGGAGAGTCCGTTTGCTGCCAGGTGCATCGTTGAATCTCTCGAAAGCTGCTGAGTTGAGAATTCTATGTTATTCTCCTCACTTTCAGATGCACTCAAACCGTCTGATATGTGCCTTTCCTGTTCCGTTTCTCCTTCCTCCCCTTGTCCCACCCGCCCTCGTTGTCGCCACAGCAAGCCTCTGCCTCCCTCGCCTTCCATCTCCTCCCGTCGCCGCTGGCTCGACCCCTTGATGACCAGGACCACGGCGAACTTCGCCAAGGCCACCTTCGAGGCTTTGAAGGCTCGGCGGGAGGCAGAAGAGGAGCTTTCGAGAATAGGGTAGCCATGATTGATGGTGATTGGGTCGCGTGCGGGCATTGGTCTCAAACTGCGTCAAAGTCAAATATGGTGATTGAGGTTTGGCAGGAGGCAGGCAGGCAGGCAGGCAGGCAGGCAGGCAGGCAGAGTCCTGAGTGATTTTGATGCAACACGTTCAGAAGTCCATTCCTAGAGGCTAGCAGCCACAGGATATCGATCGTTTTTGTACTGTACTTTGCATGAAGAGTGTCTTCGCAAAAGGCCACAGAGTCAAGGGAACTCCCATTGCTTTGATTTGCTTTGTACACAAATTGATAGGCCCACGTCTTGTTCTAGGGAGACAATTGTTCACGAAGAGTATCCTGCAAGACATCTGGAGCAAGAGATATCATATACAGACACACACCGACATCCTCGACACCAAACAGAGATCAAATCTGATCGCATCAGCTCCAATGTATCGAACCCAAGTGCGACCCACACCCCGGGGCACGCACCGGTCAAAACAGACTGCGCGGGTTTCTCGGGTTCGGCCTCGCAGCTTGAGGCCACCTATGGCTACCTGACACCTGACCTGTGGAAGCCCACGAACCATACGAAGTCGCCCTTCCAGGTGGAATCAAACACCGAAAACGGTCCGAAAACGGTCCGTCATCGCAAGGCCTTTTTTCGTGATGGGGCGCTGTGATGGGACAGGTGACATGCGACGTGTGCGCCGTGTTCGGCATCCTGACAGGTCGACCTGGATGATCCTGGATGAATGGATTCATTGCACACTCTCCGCTCTCGATTCCTCCCAAATCACCCTTTGGAGTCCTTCCGGCGAAGTCTGACAAAAAAAGGAACAGCACCCAGACCTCCAAAAGGACTTCAGAAGGTAAGACATGGTAAGACCTTGGTTGGTTGATTCCACCGGCTGCGTTGGAGACCTTCCGGCTCCGTGTCTCCTCCGGTGAGACCACCGTCGCGAAGAACTCGTCTCGTCTCCATCGGTCGAGGAGTGGTCCGACTGGCTGAGCCAATCCCAAAAGGTGCGGACGACGCAGCGTGGCAGGGAGGGTCTTCTTGTTGATGGACGTCCGACGTCCGGGGTGGGGCAGCTTGCCTGAAGTAGTGGTCATATGGGTGTCATGTACTTTCCATGCAAAGCTCGTGAGAAATCACCTGAGATAGCAGCAGTGGCTGGAGGTCCACTGAGTTGTCTGCCTGGGCTGTCAGGACAGGAACTCTTGCTCGTGCGTTTCGTCGGATTCGGCATGCAGTTCTGGTCACAGGAGTTTCGGGACGAGTTCTAGGATAAGACAGTTCTAGGATAAGCACTCGAAATCCGTGGACAGCTCCAATGCTACCCAGTTTTCTGGCCTTCTTGCTGTTGGACCTGTTGGGGGTCATCACCAGCTGGTTTCGGTGTCCTTTTCAGGCGTTGAAATGTTCAATCCGCAGCTTGATCCTTCGGTGGACACTAACTCTGCGATAAAACCCCCACTGTCGACCACCGCACGCAAACACCGCATGCCGCATCCCAGAGCAAATCCACGCCGTTGGCCGTTGGCCGTTGTTTCAGGCCGCGGCATACTGAGTGCTGAAGTTCGTCGTCGCAAAAGTTGTTCGAAAAGGGCGCAGAGGTTCGCAGACAGATTCCTCACCCCATGGGAGTTTGGTTGTGAGCGGTTGATTTTTCCGAAGCCCAGCACAACAGGGGTGACTGGGGTGGCAAGTTCCTACGAGCTGTCGAGCTGATATCCGTGGTCTCCTGGCTGGCTCAAGAGGTCTTTGATGTTGTTCGCCGATGGCATAATATAACAGGGCGATTTGCACAAGAAAAACAGCTGCAGACGATGTCTTCCACAACGTGCAAGAGTACGAGGGCCCATGTCAATGTAGTTTCTGCCTTGTAAGCCAGATAACTTGTGATCTTTAAAACACACTTTGATTGACCAACCTGAGCCTGACCATGCCACCGCCGGAGGCACGGCTGGACGGAGTCTGTTCTTTTTCCACAGAAGGAGAGTTGTTTCATGAAGACGTGGGTTAAGAATAGAGCAGAGAATGGCTAAGACATCCTTCGCAGGTTTGACAAGTGGGCTTGACAAGTGGGCTGCCCTCTTCGGTGTTCTTTGGATCATCTTGTGAGATCGAAAGAAAGGATGGCCAAAGCCTGGCTGCTGGTTAGTGAAGCCCGCTTGTTATGCCCACTTGTTGCCTGTCATGTTGACTGCTTGGTGCATGGACAGCAGGGTGGAGTTTTTCTTTTAACAGATTTCGACTCGCAAAGCCCAAAACGTGCACGTGGGACCTGTGAGTGGTCTTGAGTCTACTCGCATTCGAGTCTACTCACTGGTGTCAAGAAGAGCTTGAAAAGCCCACCGGAGGCGCGCTGGGCGGCCCCTCGTGGCTCGGCTCGCGGCTCGTGCATTGCGGAGAAGCTTCTCGCGAGAGAAGCGCTCGCGTGAGTCGCTCTAGGCGACGGAAAGCTTCTCAAGACTCGGAAGGGATTCTCTTTTCAGTTCCAAAAGGGGAAGACCGAAGACCCAATGACCGGAGGGGCAGATCGGCTCAAAAGGCAGCAGATTCAGCAGCTTGCCGCGCCATCCGACGAGGGAGGTCTGAGGGAGGTGATCACGCGAAGGTTGGAAGCATCCATGTTGCAGTAACTATTAACTATAACAGGGAGCAATCATCAACATGTAATCTGTATTGTTAATTTTGGTTACAGTCTACAGTGCTAGAGCTGCCTCAACATATTTCTCATAGATTTATCGTTTCGATATGATTCAAGCAGAAGCTTCATCGCATCAATGATCACTTCCACCCGTCACCCGTCGGGGGAAACCTTCGCAAAACGCTTCCATTCGCTGGGCGAGCGTGGAAGGGCTGAGGCCCAAAAGCATGTCTTCGCCCAAAAGGATCCCTTTCAAAGGCCCCCCCACGTCAAACCGATTCTTCCAAAGGATCCGAGACCGATTTGTGTAGGTAGACATGATCCACTTCTCTACAGCACCGAGCGGCCAGAGACGCATGTTCTCGACGGCAGATTTCTTGTTACTACTAGCTTCTTGTTACTACTAGTAAGGCACCTGTTACTACTAGCGTGGCACTTGTTTCTACTAGCGAACCTTGTTGTGACCTTGCTCCGGAGGAACCGACATCTTGCGGGCGGCGGATGCAGGCGACGGCCACGCACGAGTGGGACGGAAGCGGCGGGAGCGACGGGGGCGTGCAGGGTGGCACAAGAAGAGTTTGGCGGTCCCTCAAAGCTTCGGCAGGGTGGCCAATTGAAGGTCGATGAAGACCAGTTCGGATGACATGTTCGTGCTCCTGAGTCATGCTTCATCGGATTTGAGGAATCCTGTGACCCAACATTTGTAGAAAAAACAGACGCATGCGTACTAAATGAACACCGTTGTTCTACCCGGAACTGCACATGAATTGGCTGTGCACCCAACAGAGCCTGTGCCTCTGCACCATATGCGCCCGGTTTTCCTCTTCGACGCAGAAAACGGGTTTACGGCTCGCGTGTTTATATATTACGACACCACCCGCGCCGTGATGGTCAACACCTTGAGGTCGACACGAGGAAGCCATCCAGTCTTTGCAAGAAGATCCTCAAAGGATTCAGCTTCGAGATCGAGACGGCGGGCTCGCGGGCGGCTGGCTCCCGGTGCGGAAGGGGATTTTGCGAGATTCGAATCGCGCGAGGACGGTTGTTCAGAGGTCCTTTGGCTGTTGGATTGGGAAGAGAACATGGTGATTAGTTGGGAACTCAACACTGTTGACAACCCACTTTCCGACACTGTTTGAGAAGTAAAGGATGATGATCTTGTGCCTTGATGCCCCAAGAAGACAGGAGTCGCAAGGCAAGAGTTGTACTAGTCCCAAAATTCTGCAAGGCACACAGATTCTGTTTCCATCATGAACACCCATCCAACTACCCACATCCATCCAACTTCACCCCTGCGCTCTCCATTCGCTGGTCTGCCTGCACCACTTCGTCAGGTCTGACCTGCCTGCACCATGCGGCGCGAAAGGGCCACAGCGCTTTGGCGAAGGAGTTGCTGCGCTACAGGGCCGATCTCAAGGCACAGGATCAGTGGGGCCCGGACCTCGAAGGCAGCGAGGTTTGGGAGGTTTGGTGGGTTTTAATTCGCAGAAAAACCACGTGAATCATGAATGAACCCTAAACCCTAAACCCAAAGAAAGAACATCATGATCTAGTGAGAGATAGATATATTAGAACCGCTTCGTTTGCAAACAAATGAGTATAGGTTCTATAGTATGTGTCTGTCACTATGCAACAAGATAGATGATTCTTTCGACCGGTGTCACCGGACACCGCACGGGTGACCCCGGATGCCGATCGAGATCTCGGACACTTGAGGCATGACCCCGTTGCACCGCGCGGTGGCCAAAGGTCTCTCGGCACCAGAAGCCAATGCCAATGATGTCGTTGAACTCGGCTCAAGACGATTCAGTTGACGTTTTACTTTTGTCTTTCGTGTGATGTGGACACAGGGAGACACTTGTTCAGCTCCATTCTTGGGGTGGGTCAACGACTTATTTACCGTTGCTCGCTCACAACCCGCGAGCAACGCGGCCTTGCTCCATCATATCACATCCAACATCGCACAACCTCACGCTTTCAATCCGACAGAAGCCGATACCAGTCGATACCAGTGAATACCAGTCGCTCCAAGCTCGAAAGTGAAACCGATGCCACTGCTGATGGCCTTTCAACCCTTGGCCGGCCTTGGAAATCCGGACATGTGCTGCGGGTCCAGGGGGGGCGAAGCCACCGAAAGCGTTGGGCAGCGAGGAAGTGCTGGATCCGATGTCAAAGCGTTCCTCGCTATGACCTAATGACCCGATGCCTTTACATAATCGAAACCAATGCCCTCCACTGCCCTCGACGTGAGGAGGTGACGTGAGAAACGCTGCACGGACGTAGAGCACGCGGCGTTCTACGGCTTGGACCGAGGTCACCTACCGGTGGTCGAGCTGCTCCTGACGGCGCGCGCAGAGATCCGTGCCAAGAATACCCGAGGTTCGGAAGAGCGGGGAATGAGGAAGGCAGTCAATGATTGAGGAACTGTTATTTGCTGAGTTGACTTCACTGCCTATGAAAGGCCGTGACGGACAGGGACCGCAAGTCGCGCTATTTGCTGAGTTGAGCATGGGATAGAAAATGGTAGAAAGGAGTAGGAAGGATGTAATATGTCCCAACTTCCCGATCCTTCTTGAAATTGGATAAGATATATAAAGATGGTCAATCTGAAGATGGATGACGAAGAGTCCAGCATTTGAGCGCAGTCCAGGGGATGACTAGGGTTTTCCCCCCGTGCCATCAGACCTTCAAAACTTTTCGACATCTCGCGTGGCTGAACGAATGTCAGGCCTCACAGCCTTTGACTTTGCCAGAGCACACCACGATGGCAAAATGACGCAATTCTTGTCCAGCTTCTCGTCACCGGAGGCCCGACTTGCATGCTTCTCGGCCTCGTTGAAGACATCTCTCGTCTCGCCCACTTTGTTTGCTTGTCGCATCGATTGGAGCCCATCATACTTGTTACCTTGTTCTGTTGAGGCGAACATTCGTGGTGGGCGTGTCCTTCTTTTGTGTGTGACACGGAGCGCCGTGTGTCCACTCGAGAGGATCGGTCACCAAGGCCTCTCGCTCGTCCCTCGGAGCGGTCGGCCGTCAGGCGTGAGGACCCGGGGAGCGGCACCCGGGGAGCGGCACGGTGCCCTTTTTCCCCCGAGCTTGTCCAAGACAACGGGAAACGGTCGCTGCGCCTGAAAGAGCCGAAAACGACTGTGGGTGCTGGCGCGGGTGAATCCGAAACGCCGGTGGTATTTTTTTGGACGGTTTTGTTTTGGACTCCGTGTTCCAAACCATGCAAAGTTTCAACAGGACGCTTTCTTTTTCTGTGCAACCTGCATATCAACGACATCATAGATTAATTAGCACATTAGACACACTGTAATTTGAAGATATTGAGTGCGTATGGTCTGGCGCCATTGGCTTTCATTCCGTTTTCATTGTTTCTCCATCCGTGCCGGCTTTGGTGTTTTCCTCCATGAAGATGGGTTTTGGCAGAGGTGCTCCGGAACTACTGCAACGAGCTTGGTGGAAATTCATCAAAAGCCTTTCCGTATTTTTCCATGGGATACTTATCTTTTGGCAGGATGGGAAGACCATCTTGAGAGTCTTGAGAGGTAGGGCCTGGTAGGGGCGGGAAGTCTTCCGACCAAAATCACATGAAGACTCACTATTTTTTCCAAACAGATCCAAACTCTCGGAAAGGGGAAGGTATCCTAAATCATGATCGCACAGACTCATCCGACACTCCTTGGAAGTCAGGGACATTGTAAAGCTTTGGCCCCCTTTCGCTGATCCATTGGTATGAGACTCTGTGAACCATTTCAGAGTAGATGCGAGCCATGGTGAGGCCTCAGATCACTTGCAAGAGTGCGTCATTGGATCGTTGATCCAGTTTTTCTGCCGTACTGGAGCCTGGTGGACCCACACAAAACTTTAGTTTGATAGTAATTCTCGCACTGTCTGATGTGGGATTTACAGCTGTTGCAGGATTTCTTCTTGAGCATATTTCCACACCATGTGCAAGACAGACACTTTAGGAGGCATGACGTGACGTGCCACGGTGTGATGTCCAATGGATGTGTCCAGCACCACCACGAGTGGGCCATGCAAGTCCGCAGTGGGCCATGGTCTGTCAGTGGACGTTCGGGCGTTTTCCTGGATGCAGATCAAGCATGCTTTCCCTGTGTTAGCCAATGTGTTTGTGTAGGTTGCTTGTAAGAATAGGGGGAGACCCCGCAACCTGTGGGTTGGTCTATTCTAACTTGAACCATGTATTGATGCGATTGATGTGCTTTGTCCAGGACAGTCTTCATGGCAAGCACGGTGCCCGATGGCGACTCTTTTGTCGATGTCCAAAAAGCTGGTTTGTTCGGAAAGCATCGAATGAACAGGATTGCTTGGTTGAATAGTGCCCATGTAAAGATGTTCTCGTTTATGTGAACTTGAACTAGTATGATGACTCTTGTTATGCACCGCATGTGACATGTTCGGTCCTTTCCATCGGAGGCTGCTTTCCATGCACGATGTTTGACCTGTTTATTGCCTGTCTATCGTTGGTTGGATTCTCTTTTTCAGATTGCCATTCCGTCCAAGTGGAGCTTAGCATGATCGAAACCAGGTCAGGAGTTTTAGAACCTCACCAGTTTCAAACCTCGTGACCACTCCATCCGAGTGCAGTGCAGTGCCGCGCGGCCATGGCGCACGTCCCGCTGGGCGCCTTTCTCGGCTATGTCATTGGCCTTTTGATGCTCGGTTTAGCCCACCCGGACGGACGGACTTCAAACTGGATGATGGTGTGATGTCTTCCTGCTAGATACAACTAGATTGCAGTGTTTCTGAGTTGTCTTGATGCTTCATGGGCTCAGAAAGCGGCATAAGCATTGGGATTGGACAACATCTACCATTTGGGTCGGCCTCACTGCTTCTTTTAGCCCCTAAAGGTGAAGGGGGACCGTCCGCAATAGTTCCTGTAAATATAGGTTTGGTCCATTACTCGTCATGCAAAGAACATGAAAGGAGAAACTGCTAGACCGAGGCCGCTTGTTTGTGAACTACAGTATATTGATATAGAGCTTTGGGGACAGCATTTTTTGTTGCCAAATGGGCCCTTCAGTCTCTGCACATGCGGGTCCCAGCATCAAATCAGCCCCAAAAAGGCTCAATTTGCACAACGTATGCCAGCTGGTTTCCGGTTTCCGATCACGTATGCACTGACAAGGCTCCTGACATACTGCCTGGCAAATTGGCTGGCATTTCATTTGCCGCTCGTGCCTTTTTACATTCTGACATGTACTCTGACACCTCTGGCCGCACATGTTCGGACACGCGCACTGACATTTAAGGTGACACATGTACCGACATAGTTGCTGAGATACGATCTGACATACTATCCAACATACAATCTGACAAGTCTTCTAGACATACTATCTATCATTCTATCATCACAAGACATATTATTCGCACATTGTTTGGCATGTATTGTGAAACATAACTTCTGGCAACATGTTTTGCAGGCGTTTTGAATTGTGTTGACATCAGACCTGTCTTCTGGCCAATTACTTGATATGTTTGCCAACAAATTCTCTGGCGTATCCTTCGGCACATTTTGATCTCGGCTGTTTTGCTCGGCACAGCGCTCTGTGCGCCAAACAACCTGCCTGCTGGATCGCTGCATCATCGTGGCTGACAAAAGCGAACCGAATGAGTGAGGAGGATTTAGCGCTGAGGAGGAGAAAGGAGGGAGGAGTGAGTTCACCACCGACATAAGATCGCCCTCACTCCACTGCTGGGGAGATCTACAAAGCAGGAGTTCGGTTAGGTTCAAAGAAGGTTTTGTTGAAGTCCAAACAAAAACCAAGGGAGTTGGTCCGACACAATTGGTCCGCAAGTTCTGCTCCCCCGTCGATCTCTTGCCTCGCCTCTTTCTCCGCGCGGAGAAATCGGAAAAGGATCCTCATTGCCTTCCTTGCGGCCGTGGCTGTGACCGGGAGCTTGCAACCGGGGTTCCCCGGGTGGGAGGCCGGGGTTCTCACCGCCCTCCAAATCACATGGTTTCTTAGAACTAATATGAATTAATCAAGGCATGTTCGTTTTTTAAATCAGGATGCGAAAAGCGTTAAACGAATCGAGGAGACAATGATAGAGGCCTCTTCAAACAGGTTGGGACGCCCTATCTTTATCATTGTTTATCACACTCTAAGATGTTCAAAATTCAAGGTTCAAACGTCTCCTTTTCAGTAATTGTAACAGACACTCGAAGACATTTGGAGGCTGTATCCTCTCACACTTGTCAAATAATTTCCCACAACGGTTTCAACAGAATCCTCCCCAATTGAACATTGAATATTTTGTAATTTGATTTATCCGTTTGAATGGGAACACGAAGGGCTGCAGTTGAGAAGTCTGAAGAAGTGATAGAGACCTACATGAGAATCTGCAGGTTCTTGGCTCTTTCATGGTTACTACTAGTAGGGCACTTGTTACTACTAGCAATGCACTTGTTACTACTAGCGATGCACTTGTTGGGTTTAGAGCCTAAGGTCCAGAATCCTCGTGTAGACCAACCCTATATGAATAAGGGGATGCTCTCGAGCGAATTGACGGCTCAAACCTGGTCAGGATCAGGTTTCCAGTTCACCTTTGCGGTTTCACGGTCAGAGAATGATGTCCATGGTTTCACAGTGGTTTCACCGTGTTTCGCGGGCAGGTTTCACTGTGTTTCACTGTGTTTCCAGTAGTTTCCCAAGATTCCTCTCTCAAGTCTGCAGGTGGTTGAGATTTGTGGACCATTTTACCAAATTGCAAACTTCTTCTTCTTCTACGCGGGCATCCTACATGACGTGGCCTTCATTCGTACTTGTGTGGTCTTGGGCTTCCTCTTCATCACGGCCTATTTGCTCTATGGCACCCCGGCATGGCCACAGATCTGGGAGCCCGAGCGGGCCTTCTTTCGCATGGACTCGGTCTTCTGGATGATCTTGGCCCTCGTCGTGAACGTTGTGCCGCTGCTTCGATGCCTGGCCAAGAGAAGACGGCCAAACACGGACGACCAAACACGGACGAGAGAAGACGAGAAGACGAACGTGTTGCGAGATTCGGTAGCCTGGTTTGGTTGATTCCTTTTTGGGGGGTGAAGAAGCGGCGACCCGATTTGGTCATGGCACTATCGATTTGGTGCCGGTGTCAGATTTGCAGTGACAAGTGATGTTTGTGCTGGATTCACGCGGGGTATTTCAGATTTGGCAGTCAACATTTGAAGTACGTGACATAACCAACCGGGCTGTTAGTTTGACAATCTTCAAAGCAGTTGTCATGCTCACACAAAGTACGTTCAGAAAAGCAAAGTAATTAAGGGATCGGTCAGCGACGATATTTTGGAAGAGGGAGAGTGGAAAGTGAGTGTTCAACCATCTTCCGCCCTTCCTGGATCAATCTGCTGGTGGTGGACGTTTGTCGACCTGGTGAAGGGCACGAAGGGCACGAAGGGCACGTTTTCACGTCGCTCAGGGCAGATCCGCTTCGACGACTCGAAAGTGAAGTTCTGCGTCGCGGATGAAACCCAAGAACGTTGGGCTGAGGCAGTGTGGTGAGCCGGCTGAAGGAAGGGCTGATGGGGACGCTGAAAGGAGAGTGGTGGTATTGCTGATCGGACTGGTTTTGGTCAGACTTCAAACGCTGAAATTGGCTTCCTTTTGATGAAAACGAAAAAGGCATGAACATGTCACACTTCACCCTACAAATAGGCAAGCAGACGAGCATAGCATGTATAGGTTGCTTCTACAGTGCCCACTGTCTTTATGCCCTTTATGCGGTGTTTTTGGTGGGGAGTTCGAGTCTTCACATCACTGACGCCAGGGAGGCTTGGGGAAGCAATTGAGCTTTTCAAGTGATCGTACTGGTAAGCCTGGTAAGCAACCCGATGTGAGTTGGGCGAGAAGACATCCTGTCAGGCACTTGAAGAACAAGCTTCATCGTGAAAAAGGTAGGACACCAGAAACAGGGCCAACCACGTCCCGCCAAAAATCGGTACATTGTATATACGAGTTTAGTGACCGTGGGGAGAGTCTTGCAGTCTGTTGCTCCACTCACACACACACAAATTCTCGCAAATGGGCCGCCCAGCGAAAGAATCGAGCAATGAACAAGACACGAAACAAGGGCAAGCTAGAATACACTAGCCATCCTGGGTCGCATACTTGCAGATCTTGAAAGAAAAGAACATGGTCAATCAGAACGGGTGATCTTTAGCCGATAGGGCCAGGAAGAAAGCAACAACGACTTCGGACAGTGACTCCAACACGAGCGTCATAGATCGCCCAGATGCATTCGCCATCGGCACGTTGGACAAATGATCAGGTACACAGATTGGGTCCGGTTACACATCACCCCAACAAGAAACACCTCACCCTTGCTGGTCCTCCGAGGCGGGAGTGGTGGCGCCGTAGCGGGATCCCACGTGCGGACTTCAAGGACATTGTGCCTGGGCACGGTGGAGTTGACTCTGTCGGATGCGTCGACGAGGAATCAACGGGCGCGTCCGTCTTTTTTAGTGCCACCGTGAAATCCTTGTGTAGCTGCATTAAGAAAACAATGGCCATGTTCTTTGGAGAAGGAAGTAGGGCACATTGATGTCAAGCGATGTTTTGAGAATGATGTTGAGGGCAGGAAAATGCTGAACAAAACTTTACTGTCTAGGTCAGGGGCTTTACTGCTGACCGTTAATACCATGTACAGAGTGCGCGCAATCGACACCCCTTTACATCGAGATCGTTAGTGGCTCCATTGTAGCTTTGGTCAAGCGTGAGGCCAACAGAAGCACATGGTGATCTTAGCTTCGTAAACGAAAAAAAGAAAAGATCAGACTGGGCAAACCACCTCCAATCCTTTCAAGCCACCCCGGGGTGCCCAGATCTTGCTGCTTTATCCAAGACGCACTGCTATATCACTGTCTGACATTTCTCCCCTACGACTCTTCTCCCCTTGCTAGGTCGAAGCCGGAGAATTTCTGGAGCTGGTTGCATCGACAGAGCTTCCGTGGCGCGACAAATGCCGGTCCAGCTCGATCGATCTCGACGGGTTTGTTTTTGAAGGCTTTCTCGACCTGGAAATAGCATAGAAATGCACAAACCATATTGTGGGAGACGTTTGACCATCGTGGTGCTGAATCCTTACACGGTTAACCTGGTTGGTTTAACTTTGTTCCGCGGCTCAGCGGTCCCGGCTACATTCAGCGTGATCAGCCATCTCCCAATGTCAACCACATCAAAAAGCCAAGCAGTAGCTCAGTAGCTTCAATGGAATCAATGGAATGTAATGTTTTTTGTTGTTGATTATGTCATATATGTGTATATATAATATATGTTATTGTTTGAAAGCTGTTTGCCTTTTCCAAACTACCAAGAATGTAGTGTATGAGGCGAACAAAGGCGTGCTTAAGAGGGCAAACGCCATGTTGATGTCAGTTCAAGGCATGGCAACAAGACTACTGGCTATCGGACTACGCACTGAACTTTCAAGCAGGTTGGTGACACGTGGGTGGGGCAAAGTGCTTCTCCCTTCACGATGTCCAGGGATCTTTTTCGATAAGACAGACTTCAGGTTGAAGATGTCCGAGATAGACTCTGACGGGACTTTCTCTGATAGCGATGGCAGTTGGGAGGATGAGAGCGATGTATTTTACTACATCGTCGCCCGGAGGCATCAAGGGGAAATTCATGTGATTTTCCAAGAGAAGTTCCCCTCCCCACACTAGATGTTGCTATTCAGTGCTGCAGTTGGACATCCCCCCCAACCCGGTGTATGTCTAACAAGACTACAGCTCCGAACTGGCCAAATGCAAGACACCTATGAATCTATTTGCTGCATTCAGCATGATCGATGGACTTGAGATTGACCAGGTCGAGGTTGAGACGATTCACCATGCTTGACTTAACCTCGTTTGTCCATGTTGACCTGCCGAAAGCTTCGTGATTCGCGGCGAATCCGATTGACAAGGTCACTGGGAAGATTCAGTTGACGCCGGACGTCGACAGCGGCGTGAAGGTTTTCACCTTTGAGGCTCCACTTGAGGATTTGGGATGCGATGCGGGGAGATGAGAGGGGCGAAAGGTGGAGACTTCTTGGGCTTGGTGGGGCGAAGAAGGTGGGTCTAAGTAGACCCAGCCTGGCGGTCAGAGGCATTGGTGATTCGTGGTGATTTCTACTGACTGTATGTTTGTTGACACAGGTGCTCGCAAGCAAGTGGTGCCCAGGAAATCCTTTAAGAAAGGGGAATGATACTGGCTATAGCACGGATATGTCAACGCACCGCTTGTGAATCATGCCACACCTGCAATATTCTTCAAGTAACAAGTATATCGTGGATGTCATGTGATGACAATATAGCTACAACGTGTCACGTGGCCGGCCTGTCCAGCACAAAGTTGCCTCCATCATATTGTGCTGTTGTGCAAGCTATGAGAAGATCTAGCAAGGAAAAACTTAGAGATGGAGTTTCATGAATCCTGCTTTGCACGGCCTTGCAATGACCATTGGACACCTATTACAAGAGAAGGCAGATAAGGGCTTTTCCTACCTGATGCTGTGTAGAAATAATGTTTGTTTTGCCCCAACAACTGAGAGATACACATCCCAACACGTGGCCCCCTTGTTCGCGATTCGCCAAGGATGATGGCTACTTCGTGGATGGTGCTCGCTTTGTGACGGCTCTGGGCCAAAGCTCTGTGATCTTTGCAATGCAGCAGCAACTCCCAACAGTCAAGGTGGTCTCGGAGAAGGCCTTAGTGATCAGGCGCCAATTATCGGATCTTCGGTCTGCGGTCGGCCACGGCGAATTTGAGCCATTGGAAGGGAGAAAAAGGACATGTGTCTTGACTCCGTTCATTGGGATGTTCTATGGCGACCATGAAGAGACTAGGGTGACTATGCGCGGCCTAATTTTGTGGTCCCACCTTCACCGGTGTTTTTTTCGGAACCCTTTTCGTCGCTCAAGAGGGTAGATGTCCTTGACATCGATGCCTCATTGGTCGTTCTTTTGGGGGCGCCACGTCGTGACGTCGTGTTGAGCGCGTGGAGGTGGACATTGAGATCTATCCATGAGAAGATCGTTAAATCCAACGGCTTCGCACTGGAATGCTTGAGACTCGTTGCTTGGATTGAGAGATTTTCGTGGCGGACGTGGCTTCGTGATGGCTTGCAGAGTCTACTGCGTGTGCAGAGCTCAACCTTCATTTCGCCATGTAAATGGGCACCCAGTTACATTGAAAGAAAACTACTTCCGCAGGGGGACGTCGCGGTCCAAATGCCTTTGCTTTTTGGGATAACCCAAATTCGTCCCGTCATCGGTAGGGTAGGACACGTCAGGTCATCGTGTGCGGCTTTTTGAACTATACCAATGGCCCAATGGCCCTCTATGACAAATTTAAATATTAATAGACTACAACCTGTAAGTCTCTCTGTATATGCCAGAGCAAAATTGCCCTTTTTCACCCAGCAGATCGATCATGCCGGTGGCACGGTGCGTGGTGCGGGTACCACCGTGGAACTCTCCAGCTTTGAGGTGGTTGCCTCATCCACTTTGGATTCCCTCTACCGAACCGCCGTGAAGGAGGAGGGGGAACTGAACACACATGAATGGGCCGTTTCAGCTCAGGCAATTTGGCCAAGTGCATTGCATACAACATGCATTTCGTACCAGCTAGCCCACTGAAACCATCTCACAGTGCAAGAAAATGACGCCTGTGAGAACGCTTGTACATTGCTTGGGCGTGTGCGTTAGAGTCTTTTTGTAATCCTTAGAATCAAAGGCCTTTCGCGGGCTCTGGGGTGGCGTGCAAGCTTCAAGTTCCTTGACAGGAACGCGACATGTAAAACATATATATATATATATATACAGCAAACTTCTTTTTTAAGTATCACTCCAAGACCTAAGACAAGGATAGTGGTGACAGAATCATTGCTCCATTTGCATATTGCCTGGAATTTCTTCTGCAGTGCGTGAAGCCGCCGCTTCCCTGCTAAAGGTATCAGTAACACCTTCTCCAAGCTTGTTAGTGCACTCGCTTTCTGCGTGTCGGTTAGTTCCTTGAATTCCTTTCGACCCCTTTGCGGCAGGACAGTCTGTGTACCTTCCAAGCAGTGGATCAGATGAAGAAGGAGTGCTTGCGAGGGCCGCTGCCGAAGAACGCGGCCATGCTCCAGCGGTCCTTTCTGCAACAGTTCTACTTGAGTCACATCCCCAGCCTGCGACGTTACACCCAGTCATAACCGGAGCTTGGTGGAACACTTGAAATTGAGGTTGGTGGTTTTGCGGATGATCCTGGCAGTACAATTTGGATATTTGAGCATGATCCAACCAAGTAACATGCGAAGCAACAGCTTGAGGGCACACAACATGAACCCACCTGTCGATCATGGAAGCTACATCCTCTTCGTAGCAGAGACGGTGCCCCAAATGAGTGCTGTGCATTTGCCAGGCACCTTGCACACCAAGACACAACAGACCACAATGATGGTACCATACATGATGATGTTGTACTGAAACCAGTATATAACCAGATCTTGAGCAAGTCAAGAGGCCCCTCATTTCTGTCCAAATTTTGAACGCTTGAAACTAAATGCTTGAACTGAACAAAACCCTTGGCCCCCGTAAGAAACAAAAGTGTCCCACACTCTCACCACTCCCAGACTTGGGGTTCTTGCAAACCTTCTTGGCCTTTAGGTCATTTTACTTGGGCAGACCTTTGGCGCCCGAGCCCTCGCCAGCGCGCCATCAATGCGGTGCAGACAGGAAGCCGCGAGTTGGCTTTTCGCCAAACCTGCCAAGAGACCGACGACCGCATGCGGAGCATGGTGCGACTTGCCAGCGACGCCACGTCCGGGTCAGTGTGAGGACGCAGACGGAACGGAAGCGGAACCGGCAGAAGATGTCATGGACATTTCTACAGTAATGTAGACTTTTGATCAATGAAACTCCCCGTATGAAGAGGCTTTACAATAAAAATGGGGGGCTTTATGAATCAAGAGTCTGCGTTACAGTGATATGTTGACCATATATTTTGGATATACAACGAGAGGTTCCACGCTTGCATTTTTGGAATGACCATCTAATCTTGCTGCAGAAGGTGGCAAAGGTAGATGGACCACTTTTCACCCGCTGCCTTTCGAGGTCACACGGTGAAAGATCATGCCCATGAAAGGTCATGGCATGTATAGGACCGTTTTGAACCTGTTGCGATGCTTGGAGAGCACCAAAAAATGTGCGCAATTGAAATACAATTGGGATTTCCCAGCAATTCCCTTTATACAACATTGAAGACCATTGACTACTATTTACATATTTACAACATTATATATCATCTGAAGATTATTTTGTCACAAAAGGTAGCCCTTTAGGGGATACCTTGAGTTTGTCTTGCGAAGCAAGTGTTGGGACGCCCGGGTCTAATAATTGATCGCTCAATTCAGACCCCCCCCCCCCCCCC